ATGGTAGGCAGTAGTATGTTCAGTCTGATGGTAGTTTTAATTCATATTCCCGTCTGTCTTCTGGGGTTCTTCAGGTTAGTGTTCTTGGGCCTTTGCTCTTCATTCTAACATACAAGCGTTATGTAGCCCAGCATTATTAATAAAATGTTGGCATATGCTGATGATGTTTCTATCTGTGCCAAGCAAATAGTAGCTGACAGTCTCACCATAGACCTGATGATAATTCAATCATGTTGCTCTCGGTGGGGCATGAATTAAATCCTGCTAACTCTATTTAAATGACCGTGAACCTTTCTCGAACAATGAAGCCTCAGCATCCAGGTCTGCTGATTAATGGAGTCTTAATTACTTCCGTGAATAATCTGAAACTCTTGATCCAAAGCTTACATTTGAATTGAAAATTAGGAATATGGCCCGAGCAGTTTCAAGTTAGGCACCATTCGCAAGTGTAACAAAATTCGAGAAGATAACATTACGTAGATGTTTCTTTTCTCTCTCACTCTGCCTTATTTTGAGTATTGTTCTCCCTATTGTGGTTATCTGTTCTCGTAAGGATATCGGGTCTGTCAGTCTTATACAAGATTACAACCAATAATTCCGATCCCTTCTAACCTTAACCTGATTTTTATCAACCTGCAAGAATTCCTAGTTCTATAATCCTCAATATATTAACATTTGATGCAAGTCAATCGTCTACATATCAGTTTTCTAGACGTTTTAGAATAGATTCCTTCAACTTAACTGTAATAAGAGATTGTAACTTCTACACTTGATAAGATTTAAAGAGCAACTGACATTTTTACTACACAAACAGCTGATTATTTTCTATCTTCTCTTTTCTCCTTTCTTGACTTGCATTGATACCTTTGTTGATATATATTTTTTTAAATTTTCAGTGTAGCTCTTTATATGGCTTACCATGATAATAATGATAATATTATTAATGGTATCAATAAATTATAAACAAGGAACACAAAATCATAAAATATTAACTATAAAGAACAATTACCTCTATAGTAATCCATTTCTATTTACCCGAAATCTAGCCATGTAATTAAACTAGACAGAATATAAATCGCCGCGATATTCTACGATTTTATCAATAATAATAATAATAAAATTGTTTGCCCTGTCATTGCGAAATTGACAATGGTCAGTCCTGGTATTCCGAGACCGCAGATTGGCTTCGGTTTGCATCAGGCTTATTTGATCTCTGTGGTCTGTGTGTGTTTGTTTGTTTGCTTCTCTCTCTCTCTCTTTCTTTCTTTCTTTCTTTCTTTCTTTCTTTCTTTCTTTCTTTCTCTCTCTCTCTCTCTCTCTCTCTCTCTCTCTCTCTCTCTCTCTCTCTCTCTCTCTCTCTCTTCTCTCTCTCTCTCTCTCTCTCTCTCTCTCTCTCTCTCTCTCTCTCTAAAAAGGGGAAGTTTGGATGCTATTGCCAGAGAAGAAATTCCGGAAGAAATTAGTCTTAACACGAGAGGAATAGACGTCTGCCATACACACTCTTCATTAGCATAATAGCGGCAGAGGGATTTGAGTCTTATTCCTTTACTTATAAGGGTCAACACACGATTTTGTTTCAGAATCTAGGAGGATTTTTTTTTTTTCTTTCATTAGAAGTCTTAAAGGTTAAAGTCTTGAAAGAAAAAAAAAACGGTTAGTGACAGTTTTTTTTCCATTCTTTCCTTCTTTCCTGAAGTGTAGAAAGTGAAATAGCACTACAGATGAATAGTACTAAAAAGTAAAATTTTACTACCGTGTGTTTGAATGTCCGTGTGTGTAGGTGTGTGTTTGTGTGTGTGTTTGCGTATGTGTGTGTGTGTGTGTGTTTGTGTATGTGTGTGTGTGTGTGTGTGTGCGATGTTTGTGTATGTGTGTGTGTGTGGTGTGTGTCTGTGTGTTTGTGTATGTGTGTGTTGTTGTGTGTGTTTGTGTGTATGTGTGTGTGTTTGTGTGTGTCTATGTGTGTGTGTGTGTGTGTGTGGTGTGTGTGTGTGTGTGTGTGTGTGTGTGTCTGTGTGTGTATGTATGCGTGTGTGTATGTATGCGTGTGTGTGTGTGTGTGAAAAAGACGCCTCCATCCATCCTCCTTATCCCTCCACATATCCTTATCGACGAGACTTTAATCCCAGGCAGACCATTATATCTCTACAGGAATCGGTACAAAAGAAGCCGAATTACAGTCTCATTTCCTCGCAAGACGCTCCCATCTGAGTCCTCCCTCCTACCGTCGCTTCCTCATTAAAATGTTTTAATGAGATCATGCATAATTGCCTCATTTTCTTCCTCTTCTTTCCTTCTGGGGTGAGGGGGGGTGGAAAGGGGGAGGGGGGGTTAGGGGGGTGGGTGGATGGGGGAAGGAGGTGGGGTAGGGAGGTGATGGGTAAGGCGGAGGAGGGGGTGAGGGAGGTGGATGGGGGAAGGAGGTGGGTTAGGGAGGTGATGGTAAGCGGAGGTGGAGGTGGGGGCGTGTGGGTTGGGGGAGGGGTGGTGTTAGGGAGGTGATGGTAAGGCGGGGGTGGAGGGGAGAAGTAGATGGGGAAGGGAGGGTTTGGGGGGTGATGGTAATGCGGGGTGGGTGAGGGAGGTGGATGGGGGAAGGAGGTGGAGTTAGGGAGGTGATGGAAGGCGGGGGAGGGGGTGAGGGAGGTGGATGGGGGAGGAGGTAGGTTAGGGAGGTGATAGTAAGGCGGGGGTGGAGGTGGGGGCGTGTGGGTTGGGAGGGAGGGGGGGAGGGGGGTGTTAGGATGCGGAGGGCGGGGGCGTGATGGAGATGGGGACCAGAATGAACTGTCGATTGTCTGCAAATTGCCAGTCACTCTGCTTGAAAAATTACGAGAGAGACTAACATCGAAGAAGCTTTTATGTGGTCATTAAAGGAGAGAGAGAGAGAGAGGAGGAGAGAGAGAGTGAGAGAGTTGAGAGGTTGAAGAGGAAAAGGAGAGAATAAGAGTGTGAGGAGGTAAGGGGAGAGAGGGAAATGAGGGAAAGGAAAAGGTGTGTGTGTGTGTGTGTGTGTGTGTGTGTGTGAGAGAGAGAGAGAGAGAGAGAGAGAGAGAGAGAGAGAGAGAGAGAGAGAGAGAGAGAGAGAGAGAGAGAAAGAGAGAGGAGAGAGAGAGAGAGAGAGAGAGAGAGAGAGAAGAGAGAGGAGAGGAAGAGGAAGAGGAAGAGGAGAGAAAGAGAAAAGAGAAAAGAGAGGGAGAGAGAATGAGAGAGAAAGAGAGGGAGGAGAGTTAGAGAGAGTTGAAAAAGAAAGAAAACAAAAAAAGGTGAAAGAGCAAAAGAAAGAAAGAAGAGAGTGAAAGAAAAAGAGAGAGAGCGTGTGTTTACGTCTGTCTGCCCGATAAAAGCCTCGGCAGATTAAATCGAGGGACGGTTTCTCCTCCTCCCTGGCGCTCTATACACCCTGCCTGCGTAT